CTGAAATATTATTGAAACAGGCCTGCAACTAAAGAGGAAAACAAATTCTGCTGGTCAACATGATTTATGTTCTGGCATTAGGGAGTAAATCCACTGAAATGAGTAAACATGGAAACTGGGAACAGGAATCTCCAGGTAGTGTCAGTTGTGCTCCTTGGCAAAAAGCTCCAGAACCAATTGGCAAGAGGTTTATGGAGTGGGGGAATTCTCCTGATATCTGTGGGTTTGAACATTGAATTCTGCATTTCCATAAAATGGAGATGCATAATATATATTATATATATATATAAATATATATAATAATAATATAATAAAATAATATATATAATATATATTATATATATTATGCATTTCCATAAAATGGAGATGCATTATCTATATATATATATATATATATATACACATTATAATACAGATATTATAATACAGATATTATAATCCACACCATCACAATCAGAAGTGCCTCTAAATCCATCTTATTACCATTAAAAGTTGCACTAAAGCTGGACCAAAATCTATTTTTAAATAAAACTAGTTGTGCCAAATTCTAGTTTTAAGTCTGAAGAACTAAGCTTCCTCTGTTTCTTGAGAAGGGACTAAAGATTGCACCTATTAGTCTGAAAGCTTTCTTCAAGTATTGAATTAATAATTCTCAACAACATATTTCAATTTTGGTGGAATGACATTTTTTTCCAACACAAAAATAATTTTCTAAAACCAACAAACACTATATTTGAATTACCTGCATTGGTGTTCACCATCTCTGTTATGGTGCATTTTTTCAATTTTCAACATATTTCAATTTGGGTGGAATGACAGTTTTTTCCAAGACAAAGCTAATTTTCTAAAACCAACAAACACTACATTTCAATTCCCTGCTTTGGTGTTCACCATCTCTTTTATGGCACATTCTTTCCTACTAAAAGGTGTTTAAAATCCAACTGAAGAACAAGAACTTGTCAGGGAAAGTCTCCCTGAGCCTGAGGAGGAATTGTCTCCTTGAAGCATTCCCAAAAGGAATTCCAGCCCCAGATATGAGGGACAGACAGACACAGCCCAAGCCCTCAGTGCTTCCCAGGCTGCTCCCACCAACCCATGAGCTTTGCAGATTGTCATGGCAACACGAATTTCTTTACAAGTGGCACCAGGAGAGTAAATGAGCATGTAAACCCTCCCTGGAGCTGGCAATCATGTCCCTAAAGCTGGCAATCATGTCCCTAAAGCTGGCAATAATGTCCCTTAAACTGGCAATAATGTCCCTAAAGCTGGCGTGCCCTCCCTCAATGAGGAACACGAGCGAGGGTGTCAGTGGCACGTGGGAAATCCACAGGCAGGGCAAAATCCTGTTAGGAGCCTCTAGAAAAGCACTGGGCAAGGGAGGGAAGCAGCTCCCAAAGAGCAGCACTGAGCCCTGCTCATAGAGAGAGCTCAGCTCTACTGGCACAGCTGGCATTGCTCCCCTGCACAGGAGAAGCTTTGGGGTGACTGAATTGTGGCCTTGCAGGGCCTGGAGGGGCTGCAGAAAATATGGAGAGAGACTTTTGCCAAGAGATGGAGAGACAGGAGCAGAGGAGATGGATTCACATAGACAGGAGGCAGGGTTGGATGGGATATTGGGGAGGAATTCTTGCCTGTGAGGGAGGTGAGCCCTGGCACGGGGTGTCCAGAGCAGCTGTGGCTGCCCCACCATTGGAAGTGTCCAAGGTCAGGTTGTGATGCCTCAGGTTTTGGATTTTATATTTTCAGGTTCTGTGCTGCTTTAGTGTGTGGGTCTGGGTTCATATCAGGGGATGCTGAGCTCTGTGCACAGAGCAGGGAGACAAAACAATTCCTGCTCCAGCTGGGCACCAAGGACAAATGATCCAAATCTCAGCCCAGGAGCACAAACCCCGTGGGCTGGAGAGAGAAAAACAAGGATGGGACTGCAGGGGCTAAAGCTGGAATGGGACAATGAACTGCAAGATGCAAATGGAGCAGAACTGATCCCAGGGAGAGACCCTGTGCCTGGCTGTGCATTTTGGGACCATTTTGGGACCATTTTGGTTCATCTTGGGTGCAGCCCTGGCTGGGCTCTTGTGCTGCCCAAGGTGGATCCATTGAGGAGATGCTTTGAATAAATCCCTGCTTTATTCTGTAACTCTGCCCAGCCTCTGTTATAGATCAGCCTGCACAAGGCATCAGTTCAGGGTTTTTTTTTCTGCTATGGGAAGAAAAACCAGAAGGGGGATCTGGATCCATTGACTGTGAAACCAATAAGTTTAAAAATACAAATGCTCAGGAAATACGAGAAGGACAACATGAAATTTTTATGTGCACCTTTGGCAGGAGGACTGGGCTCAGCTGGACAGGGCTCGGAGCACGCCAGGACAGTGGGAGGTGTCCCTGCCATGGCAGGGGTGGCACTGGGTGTAGATCCCACCCACCCCATGCTCCATGCAGACACTGCAGGTGCCACAGCACCAGGGCACTGCTGGGGCAGGCAGGAGGCACCTGCAGCTGCAGCCCCACAGCCAGGGGTGAAACACCAGCTCAAACTGGGCAGAACAAAGCAATGGCACAATAAACACAGCACACAACTCCCTGTGCTGGCCACATGGGTTTGGGCACCAGGGGCTTAGGCTGGAGCCAGGCTGGATTCTGGATTCACTGCAGGCTGGGCCTGTTGGGAGGTGCTAACAAACCTCTGGGAGAATCCTGCCCTTCCCTCAGTGCCAGGGCTCATTTCTCTGCTGACCTGGGGCCACCCCTGCTGCAGCTGCAGGTGGAATCCTGCAGCCAGCACTGCCAGCACTGCCAGAGCCCTTCCACTTCCACCCCTGCTGACACACAGCACAAACATTGAAGACACCACATGATCAAATTGCCATCTAAAATTTTCAATCTTTTAAAAGAATATTTTTCTTTTTTTTTTTGGTTTGTTTTTCTGCCTGTTTGGGTTTTTTAATGGAGTTTTTTTGGTTTCTTTATGGTGTGGTTTTTTTTGGTTGGTTGGTTGGTTTGGGCTTTTTTCTTTTGCTTTTTTTTTTTGTTTGTTTTTTGGGGTTTTGTTTGTTTGTTTTTTGTTTTTTTTGAGTTTTTTTTTTTCCTGTAGAAATATTACTTTTTTAAAGCAAACATCACAAATATTTCAGATGCCCCGAGGAAATTCCCTGAAGGAGCCCCTCTATTGTCTTATATTTAATTTTATTTTATTTTTTATTTAAACAAAAACATGTCTTAAGTAAGCAGAGATTTTAAAAAATTATGCTGCCACATCTTCAGTAAGCAGATTTAAAAAAATTCATTTTGACAAATATTCCCAAATTCCTTTCTGTCTGCTTCTCAGGATCCATTTAATAATGTAATAGCCTCAGGAGAAACACTGTACAATGTCTTTTACAGTGCCAAAGCAGATCAGTAAAATGCTGTCTGCAACCTGTCAGGTTCTACAGAGATTGTGTCACTTTGCCCCTTCAACATCACACAAATGATGGACAATAACTGTTCTATTGTAATCCTCTGTCACTGGAATTTTTTTTTAAAAAAGCACAAACTTAATCCATGATTTCCATGTTCTGCTCTACGTTGGAAACAACAAAGCAGGCAGATTTCCTGGTTTGAGCACTTCATTCCTCCTTGGTTACATATTCTGCTGTAAAGACAGCAATCATCTGAATGAATAATTTCTCTGTCAATTCTGCCTGAGATTTAGATTTGGAAGGAGCAAAGAACCAAAAAATGGCTAAATCCCAGTTAAATTGGTTCCCCCTGAACTGGTGACAGCGCTCTTGTCCCTCAGTGGCAACTGCAACTGCCTCTGCAAATCCTCATTTCTCAACCAAAGTATTTCCAATTTAAAAACTGATCTGTTCCAGCACACAGCATGGCTTTACAGCCTATCCCCAACTCCACATCTCCAGTGAGGAGCTGGGTAACTTTCATTAATTTAGTTCTTTGCCAACTATTTTTTCCTCTTTGTTCTAATCAATTAAAAAACAAACTCATGAGATGGACACAGTCCTGCTCTGAGCCTTAAATTGGGTGGAAAGGATGGAGTGGCCAGCTAATGGCTGTCATTTATTTTGTTCTTTGCCAGCTATTTTTTCCTCCTTTTTTCAAATCAAAAGTTGCATTTCGCAGAGGGCAGTCAGCAGACACATCCATGTGATGGCACTGAAGGCCTTGCACCTGAATATCTGCAATATCTCCTTGCATTTCCTTCCTTCTGTACACTGCTGTGCAGCACACCCACTGCTTCCTGCACATCCCACGTGTCTGGAACGTTCTACCTGAGCAGACACTGGGATGTGGCAGAGGCAGATTCCTTCCCAGGCTGTGCTGGGAGCATTTCCTCCCTCATCTCCATCAAATTACAGCCAACACCATTCATTTCTGCAGCCAAGAGAGGCCAGGCTAAGAGAGGGGTTGGATTAAGCTCTTTTCTGAACCAGAAACTGAGAGGTGTTTAAAGAACATTTATTCCATTGTCAGTCTTATGAGAAGGGTGAGGCAGATATTATAGTACAGATATTATAACACAGGTGTTATAATCCACACCATCACAACCAGAAGCTGACTACTTTTTAATTACAAAACAAGATAAGCATTTCTTGGCTATCAGCTTTTTGCCACACCATGCTGTAAATGCCTTAAAGCCAATAATCTAAAATTGCCCCTATTGGGTCCCACTACAATGCATCTTTCACAGTTCTGTTTCTCTAAAGTATCCAGTTTAATTTGCAAGGCCATTCTTTGAAACTTGTTTCTAGTTCCATTTGTGTCTCAGCACTATCTGTCCTGCTCCATGGCATTTCTCAGTCAGCATCTCTTATCTCCAGGTTTGCACACAGATGCACACACTGTGCACACATTCTGCCAGGCTTGGAGAATCCCCTACAAATTCATTTCCCAAAGGGATCTGTGCAATCCCCCGGCACTCCCCTGCGTTCAGACTTCAAACCCAAGGGCTCCTGCAGATTTTCCCAGGCAGAAAGGCAGACAGAGATGCAGCCATGTCCTACCTGTGGGTCGGAGAGCCGGGAGATGTCGGGGTAAAGGTAGAACTTGATGCCCTCGGAGGCGCCGGGTAACGTCACGCCCCGGATCAGGAGGATCATCAGCATGATGTAGGGGAACGTGGCTGTCACATACACCACCTGGGGAGGGAACAAACAGCACAAAAGGATGGTGTGAATTCTGGCAGCTCTGTGAAGTTTCTTCCAGCTGCAGCAAAACCAGCTTCTTTTCACATCCACGGGAGGAAAAGTGCTTTGGGTGCCTTTGTGCAGGTGGTGTCGTGTCGGGGTCTCCAGCTGCTCACAGTGACCCCAAGAGATGTTAAAAGTCTCTTTTCCCTTCTTTCCTTGAAGAAGGAGTCAGAGCTCTTCAATTCTCACACTCAAGGTTGTTTATTGTTTCGTATCTATAAAATTCTTTCTCCTGCCCTGCCAAGGTGTGCTCAGCAAGACAATCAGAGGCACTCTGCCTGCCCCTGGGGTGGTGCTATCTTTTTACACTAAAAATTACACATACAATATTTACAATAACTTCCCAATACCTGTCACCTATGTTAGACAGTGAGCTTCTACTCTAAACCAATCTAAAAGTGCCACCATCACAACAGAAGATGGAGGCCAAGAAGAAGAAGAAGGAGAAAGGCTGGACACACCCAGATCCCCCCATCTTGCCCCCTGAACCCCCATTCTAAAAACCCCAAAATCAACTTTTTCACCTTGTGATAAATTCACTGTCATTCTACCGAATTTGTCATGGCTTGCTGATCTTCATCTAAGGTTGGTAATTTGCTCCACGGGTCACAATCAAACCCACAGGGGCATTTTGAGCTCTGTGCCAGGGTCTCTGAGCCCCCTGGCAGGGGTTTGAGCCCTCCAGGACAGCCAGAGGGGGGATGTCCTGGGTCCTGACAATTTTTGTCCCCCATCCACATTCCCTTCTAAACTCCTCAGGGTTTGTGGGAGATGTCAGCACTTTTTTGTAGAGATTAAGTTCTCTGTAAGTGTATTATTTCCAAACACATGATAACAAGTAATTAATTACATCTTTTATAACAATACAAGCAATGGGTTATCAGTCACCCCAGAATTACTAAACTGATTTCCCTTCGGACTGCTCTGCCTGCATGTCTGGGTTTCAGGAATAAGCATTTCATCAAACCCAAAGGTTAAATTCTATCCATATCTCCTTGGGATTTGATAGACAACCCTTATCTTACAAAGAACCTTCAGGCAAAATGTCTGAGGTGCTGAACCCCAGCAATTTCTGTTTTCACATACATGGCCACACATTCTTTTTTCCAGAAACCAATTTGTTCTCTACATGGGGGGAAACAGGAAATCTGCAAGAAGTCACATTTTCCAAAGGAAAAATGGAACAGAATTGGTCCTGTTTCACAATCTCAACCTGAGAGCAGCACATGGCTCCTCAAACTCAGAGAAGGATTAAATCATAAAGTCCATGCCACTATCAATATTTTCTTTATGTGATAACCATCTCTCTATATATTTAACTCTACATAATTTCCTGTGGCCATTTCCACCTGTGTTCCTCTTACACCTGCCGTGCATCAGTCAAAATTAGTTCAGCTGCAAGAATGGGAAAAAAATCATTTGGTGAAAAAATACATCAAAAATGTGTGTTTTAAATTGAGGAGTCCAATATTTGTCTCCTATGGAAATGAAAGCGAGACATCAAAGAATGACCTGTGAAAGGATTCTCAGACTTATTTTTGTAATTAATGAACAGAAATTGGATTTTCAGCCTATTTAACTCCAAACATGCACTGATCTCATGTGACTCATCAGGTACCCTCAAAAATGGAGGAATTCCTTTACTTGAGCAGGTGAGTGCACTGTGCCCAGAGAGAGCCATTAATTCCCATTTTGTGCCCTTCCCCAGGAGCTCCTGAGGTGAGGCAGGATGGGGAATTTAGGAATCAGTGCCACTATTAGCATCATCATCACATCTGTGGGGCATTAAAAGTTTCCCAAATTGTTTTCTTTTCTTTCAACACATCGAACCTCTCTGAATATCAATGTGAACACAACTGTTTCTAATTACACCACATCCTGTTTTAATTGACTTTAATTGCTTGCGATGTTAATTTGCATCCCAATGCTCAAAATGCTTTTTTTAAACCCTTGTCAGAGCCATGCCAATGTTTAAGCAGTTGGAAACAAAATAAAAATTTCTGGCAGGCGAGTTTTTGCACCAAGTTCTCCTCTCACAATGTGCTTGAAAGAAAAATTGACAATGATATTTAGACATACAAGTAGGTGGAGATGCACCCAATAACTCTGAACTACCCTTGGGTGCTTAACTGAAAGTACATTGGAACCAAAGATCCTGAAAATTGATATTTTATTGGCTGCCACGAGCTTTAAGTATCAAAGAATAGGAAATAAATTGAGGAGCAAGGACTGGAAATTTAAATACCAAAACCTTAAAGAGGTTTAGATGTCACTCAAGGTTAATATATAGATAGTCAGGTACCTATGAAATGATTTCATGAGTGAGGCACCATAAAGATTTTGAGAACTGAGCTGGATTTCAGTTTTATCTTTTCATACCTGAATATCTCAACAGCACAGATGTGTGCCTGTGCTCCAATTTGCCCCTGGGACTGCTGAACTTCTTGTCCTAAATGAAAAGGTGTTTGTGGGAGCACTGCAGGCAGACCATGCTGCAGGGTGAGGGGATCTGGATTTGAGGATAAGTAGGAGACATTGAGGATAACCCTGCTGAGAATAAGGAGGAAGATTTCCATGCAGTGAAATGGTGGAGCCCCAAATCAGTGGAGATCTCCAAGCCCCAAATCAGATTTCTTTGGCCAAAACTCCTGCAGACCACAGCAGCCTGAAGCTGTGAACCTTCCCCCTTTGCTGGGCTCTTGTTAAGGACACACCACCAGAATTCCTGAACTAAATATCATTGGAGGCCAGGAAGGTGATGGAATTCTCCCCTGCACGCTGCAATGTTCTTGTTTGCACTATAAGGAACTGCAAGTGTTTTATAAATGGGATGAAATTTATCTTGATGCTGCAGGAGATTACTGGCTTGCTAGTAATGAAGAAACATGAAGAATATCAATGCAGGAATTGCCAGAGATTTGCCAGAACTCACCATTTAAGTGTTTATGGAAAATCAGATCTGCCCCCATGCCCTACTCATCCTTATTTTTCACAGAGTGTTTTAATTCTGGTGTAATTTAACTTTATTTATTCATTTATTTATTTGAAACCATGAGCATGGAGAACCAGAGTGAAACCCCAACTGTGCCCACACTGCCCTACACCCCTGAGTGGAGAAACTGCTCAGGATCCAAAATTTCACCCAGTGATGCAAGAAGGAAAAGAGTCATTTTTTATCCAGGGGAACAAATTTGCACAAATAGAGAAATATAATTATCATACCCCTGTCTGGCAGCTCTGCTGAGTAGCCACACCCAGGAACCAGCAATTTGGGCAGGAATTCCATCAAAAGATTTTTTAAAAAAAGTTTTTAAATGGTCCCACAAGCCACAAGTCAAACCAGACTTGGCCTCACTGATATTTGCCAGTTTCACAAATTCTGATTTCCTGCATGGTACCAACATACCTAGATGATAAACAAGATAAAAGATTCTCTTTTTCAACTGCCATGGGATCGTGTGAAATATTCCATGCAGCATTGTTGGGAAAAAAGGCTTTTGTTCATCTGACTGTACAGCATCTATAGAGCTACAACTGAAAAGGGAGATTTTCCACATTAATTGGATTTACAAGTAAAATGGCATAAAGGAATGACAGCAGATTCAAAAGATTTTTAAAAGGATGTCAAAAGGGAGAAAACATTCGACGTCCACCGACATTTTAAAGGTAAAATTTCATATATTTCATTTCAAAGAAACACCCCCAAAAACCCAAAAGAACAGCAGGTAAGTGGATTTGAGTAAGTGGAATGAGGGGAGGGGTTAGAATCAGCACAATGGCTGATTTTTCTATTTTCCCTGTGTGTTTCATGGATTTATTCAGCATTATCTTCTGTTTGTCATCTTGGTTTATCCACAGAGGGAATCTTGCACCAGAATCATTCTGGTAAACCGACCTTAACCAGATTGCCTATGAACTGCAGAATTCCTTCTAAATTACCCCTGAATCATGTGTGAGAGCAGGAATAAATTCAAACCCCAACAGCTAAGAAAATGTAATGAGGTTTGAGGTCTGAGAAATAAGGATCCAAAAGTCAAAATCCATTGGGAATGAAAATTCAACGAGATGAGAAAAGAGGGGCCAGGAGAGGACACGGGGTGAAGGGATGGGAGAAGCTGAGTGATCACAGGAAGCAGAAGTTTCCACATGAAATAATAACTGCAGAAAGGAATAATTCCAGCACCACAGCACACTGAGGTCATTGCCTGGGACACAGAAAAATCACTACCTGGCAGAGCTGTGCAAGCCCAGATATTTTTTCCCACACGGTGGTGAAGGCAATAAATAAATAAATGAAAGTCTGAGTCCTGCTGGAATGGTTTCCTTCACAATTAAATGAAAACTTCACTCCAAAATTCATTGAGTCAATAAAAAAAAAAAAACAACCAAAAAGCAAAAAACCAAATCAAAACGTTCTGCTTAATTTTGCTTTGGCATTCTTTTAACTGAATGGGCAGAAGGAAGTTCTCTCTTGAATTAAAAATGCTTTAACAAGCCCAAGTTGTTATTTAGAAGCCTTAATCCCACATTAAAAAAATGGGTGAAAAAACCTATTTTCCATATATTTTACAGCACAAATTATTCTTTACATTGGGTCTGACTTTAGAGACTTTTCAGCACTTCCCAAATTCCATTTCAAATATTCTGTTTTCACGAAACTGCCTGCCCGTGGTCCAAAGTTCCCAAAGAAAGAGAAGTTATGGTGGAAGGCTGAATCCAAAATGCTCTATTGGAAACCCAGGCATGCAGCTAAAATTGGGAACCAAGGGCAGACAATATCCAAGCACAGCAGCAGCTCATTTTCCCAGCTGAATTGAGTGAACAATTCTCTTCCATGATGAGCTCCTGCTCCCCATAAATATTCCTAAAGCAGCAGCAAGTTTTCTAAATATGTGTAATTTCCCAGCTCCTTCCAACAGCTGGGTTTGCTTCCAGCTTGCCCAGGAGCG